AGTAAATACTGTACGTTTGTGTGCGGAGTATTGGATTGTAGTGTACAAGATATTCTACGATGATTTTACCTTTTTTTTTAATCCTTAATAATAATACTGTCGATCCATCGATGCACAACATTAGGATTATGTTTGTTCTTAACTATTTCTAACAACAACCACCACCTTGTTTTATCCCAATAAATCCAGTGTCAGCTAGTTTTTACTTGCAAAAATTTCTTTATTAATAAGAGCTAGCATTGAACTCTATTGTTCTTAACAGGGCTGTGATGGATCTGTGCTGATCGACTCGACTCCATCCAACATAGCAGAGAAGGATTCTCCAGCTAATAATCCAAGCCTTAGAGGGTTCGAAGTCATTGACAGTGCAAAGGCTAGACTTGAAGCTATATGCCAAGGAGTTGTTTCATGTGCTGATATACTGGCTTTTGCAGCAAGGGATAGTGTTGAAATTGTAAGCCACCTAGTGCATGTTCTGCAAGTTAGATTGAATAAATACCGTGTACCAAACACTGACCTTATTGCTCTTGACATTCGTGCCAAATTCATAGCACTTCATTTTTGGAAACAAAAATTATAGCACTTAAATGGAATTTTTTTCCGCAGACAGGAGGATTTGGCTATGATGTTCCTGCTGGTAGAAGAGATGGTAGAATTTCTTTAGCTTCTGAGATACCAGCAAACTTGCCACCTTCCACCTTCAATGTAGATCAACTCACTCAAAGCTTCGCAAATAAGGGATTTACGCAAGATGAAATGGTTACGCTTTCTGGTAAGTCGACTTGTTCATACTACATCGCAACTTGTGGCATGGTTTCTAAAATGTACAATTCTTGTTTATTGTAAAGTCCAGTCGTGTCTGTGTCTAATACTATCTATATTCACCAAGAATCACGCTACATGTACAATACTAGTTGACAATATCTTATTTGACATCATTATATCCATCAATTTAAAAAAATTATTTTCTACATCATATACTAGGATTTTGACAACACATGGTTGTCAACCATTGTTGTCAAAGAATATTGTACACTAAGATTAATTCATTCACCGAAGCATTTGATTTGAACACTGGAAGTTGTTAAGATGTGCCGTGTTTTGCTCTGACTTTATTCGTCTTACGTAGGTGCTCACACCATTGGCCGCTCTCATTGCACTTCCTTCAGTGGCAGACTTTACAGTTTCAACTCTTACTGCAACGGCTGCTCAAGTTATTAAAAATGCACAAAACCAATTTATATGGAGAAGTAAATTTGCAGCTGCAATGGTGAAGATGGGTCAAATTGGAGTCTCGACTGGTGATGCCGGAGAGATCCGAGCAGAGTGTAGAGTGATCAATGGTTGAAAGTTAGGAAATTATCACACATAGTTATCAGAATAAAAGTATTTGGATGTAATTGAGCGAAAGAGAGTATTTTTGCTCGTCATGTAATCCGTACCTAGATACAAATAAATGGAGCCAATGTCTGCCCGTAACTCAAATCCTCAATCTTTGCCACTCCAAATATAACGTAGGTTTCGCCTTTTTGAATTCGGGCTTCTGAAAGCATCAGATTTGGAGATGAGAAAAAAATATTTGCAACATCGGGACAAGGTTAGAGTAGCATGAGAAAGAAATCCACAAATTTTTGATGTGCTTAAATGTAGGTAAACCGAACTTCAAAAAAATAAAAATTAAAAATTAATCACTTTAGGTGGCATGTTGAATTAAAAGTAAAAATAAATGTTTGAAGGTGGTTCAGCTTGGCCAAATTTCGTACGTCTTAGCCCAACCTATTGTTAAAGGTGCGAAAAAAAAAAAAAAATTTCCGTATCCCATCCGTAGAGGGGTGACAATGACAAAGTTAAAAAATTACATTTCATGCGCCTTGATAACGCTCTTCCTATTCCTATATGTTTATTACAGTGTCTCTCGAGGTCCTTGTCACTTTGAACATTTTTAATTAAAGGGAATCGAATGAGTTTATTTTGAAACTCCAAGTATAGAAAGTTTAGGACACGTTCTCTTGTTGTTTTTAGACCATTTTCAATTTTCAGATTTCGAAAACACTGAAAACACGTTTACTTACCTATTTTCAGAAACGAATTTCCAAAACGAGTTTAAAATTTACAAAGAAAACAGAAAATGCAAAAAAGTCGTTTTGATTGTTTTTAGTTAAAACCAAGATAAAACTTCAAAATGCAGAAAATGGCCAGATTTTACCAATAGCGGGGTAGCTTAGTTGGAAGAGTCACTAATTTTCTGAAGGTCATGAGTTTGTTTCCGTTTCACCATAATTCAATACAAAGGAATTTTCTTTTTTTTTATATGCACAATACAAAATTTTTCAAATAAATTGGTAGGTGGCTGAGATTTGAACACATGTCACCAACATGAAATTTCAATGCCTTAACCACAATGGCAGGTTTTCAGTTTTTCAAAATTAGAAAATTTTTTATTTTTGAAAATAATTTTTTAAAATAACAAAAAGAACACGTTTTCAACAAACTGAAAATGACACTCAAAATAAATTTAAAACTCAAAACTCAAAATTGAAACACAAATATAACAACCCCTATAGTTTCCCCACAGTCGATAGCTTCCTTACTATATTCCCTGCCCTCAAGAAAAATGGTGCCTCTACTCTAATACCCCCATCCTATAGTATTCAAAATAATTATCATAATCGTTGGACATGACTTTTGTACACTTATTCATGCAATTCCATAAAACCACCTTCACGCTCCGTTCATGTGCACCAATTACCGAAACCTCTTTATCTTGCCCCCATTTTCATTGGCTTGGTTGGTCGAGTTGGCATTTGATTGACCCTCAATTGATCCACCAATAGCAATTTTAACTAAGTTTTTCACAACATATCAAAGTTGTAAGCTAAGTTTGAGTCTGACTCTTGAAAAAATTCAATAACCCCTGCTTCATTTGGTACTTGTCCCAATTTTCAAAAGATCCCAAGCTTTTGATAGGTTTTTCTAAATTGCTGTCATTTTTATTGTCTCGTCCAAAATATTCCCCAACGATTGGACCCAATTGGTCTGTCCCAAGGGGTTTATGTTCATTCTGCAATTTGGTCCCTCCAATTTCTAATTATGCAACTCTGCCCCTGAAATTTCCTAATTATGCAAATGAGTCCCTAAGCGTTTTTGGTGCAGATTGGTCCTAAACTTTCTGAATTGTCCAAATCAGCACTTAAAATTTCAAATTATTGCAAATCTTCCCCCATCCTCCTGCCTTTTGCAAATTGCTCTCTGATTTTTCACCACAATTTTATCCCTTGTTTGATTTTAATTTTTTTTTTTCAAAATCACTTTTTTTAAAACTCATTGTCAACTCTACATTCTTTCAATAAAATAATTCTACACGTGAATCCATAATTTTTCTTACTTTCTAAAGTTACATTTTCAAAAGAAATCAATTTCCACTTTTAAAAAAGTCAAAATCAAACAAGGGCTTAATTTACTTATACATGATTTTCAAGAGTTACTTTTTACCAATAAACAATTGAAAAAGTAACTTTTAAACCCAACCGATACATCAACAGAAGGAAAAACTCTCTTTGCAATTACTTTCTTGAGAAGCAAGTTTAAGCACAATCAGCATGTCAACAAAGCACACAATTAAATTGAAATGAGGATTACAAGATATTACTTCTTTTAGACGTCTCCAATGTGGAACACCAAATTTGGTGTAACCATGGGACAATTAGTATGTCAACAAAGCACACAATTAATTGAAATGAGGATTACGTCTTTTAGGGCGTCTCCAATGAGGAACACCAAATTTGGTGTAACATCTCACATGGTTGCACCAAATTTTATACCAAATTTGATGTAAAAGTTACACCAAATTTGGTGTAAACCATTGACACCAATTTTTTTTTTTAAAACTATTTAATTAAAAAATATATTATTACTAAAATCTTTAAATTAAAAATATATTTAATGAACTAAAATATTGTATTTATTAGTAAAATTTTAAAAAAAGATTAATGAAATTTATTGTATCAAAAATTATTATTTATTATTTGATTAGAATGCAAAAATAAATTTTAAATAGAAATAACCATCACATTAAAATAATTATAAATGAATTAATTCTAAAATAGTAAAAAGGGATATAAATTGAATAAATATTCATTGTAAAGTGGAAGGGAGAGGCAAAATGGGATTATTGGTGTAAATGATGTGTAACATTATTCATTACATATGCTCTATATTAATCTGGTCCTTCATGAGAGAGCATTTTACACCAAATTTAGTCCCTCCTTGAAGATGATCTTCTTAATAGGTATGCGCTAATGCCTATAACAAGTTTCCTTGTGAGTTTTAACATGGCTTTAGGACTCTTCTTCTCACTTCTGCTTTACACACTTTTATTTTCACCTGTTTTCAAATTCAGGAAGAAAAAAAAAAGTCATTTGAAAACATTCTTTCCTAAAACTTCTCTGCCAATATTTTGATGATTGCTCTAAACAAGTCTACAATATACAAATTCTTTTCATGTCCAAATGCAACAAATACTTCGATATATTTCTTCTTCTAACTCACCATTTAAAAAAGTTGCCTTAACGTTAATTCAATGGATCTTGAGATTATGCAACTTTACAATTGCAATCAATACTCCTTTTTTGTTTAAACACTTTGTCTACCAATGTGGGTTTATACTTATAAATTGATGAGTCGACCTTTAATTTTCTCTTTAAAACCCATTTAAAACACAACAACTCATTAGTTATTATATCTACATATGTATGATTTTACATGATGGATTCAATTTCAATTTTGTATCGTCTTTTCAAAGCGAAGTTTCTCAACTTGACATTCTTTCTTTCTTCTAAGAGTTATGTCTATAATTTTGATGATTACCATTTAAGTTCTTTTCTAATTAACTCATAATTCTGATTGCATGGAAAAATATCCTGGAAAAAAAAAAAATCAGTATTGTTAGATTTTGTAAGAGTTCGCTGCATTCTTTAACATGAATTTCGGGTTAAGAAACTTACTTGAAATGACGAAAATTTCAAGATTTTTTGATGGTTGAATCACTTTGCATTCCAAAGCTCCAAAATCTGCATTTCTTGTTCTCCAATTGTCTCAATCCTGATCACAATAGAAGTGGACGATGAATCGTTCGATGAATTCTATGCGAAACTGAATGATATAGTTAACTCTAGCTTTAACTTAGGTGAAAGGATTCCCGAGACCAAAATTGTTAGAAAAGTTCTTAGATCCCTGCCCGAGAGGTTTAGACCTAAGCTGACTGCAATAGAAGAAAGTAAGAGCTTAGATGCTGTTAAAATTGAAGAACTCGTAGGATCACTTCAAACTTATGAATTCACTGTTTCACAACCCAAAAAGGTCAAATCCATTGCCATGAACACTATTAGAAAAGAGGAGAGCGAGTCCACTGATACTAAGACCCTTAGAGACGACTCTTTAAAAAATTCCAGAAAGTGATGAGGAATAAGAGAATGTCTCAGGAGAGAAATAGTGAAGTCCCTACTAAATTCTCGAGAGGTAGTGACGCGAACCTGGGAATGGGATCGCGTGGAAATCGGGGAATTAGTCTGAACGGCTGGAAAAGCCCAAATTCAAGTTGTAGACGATAGAATCCTGTGCCGAACCTCACGAACCAAGAACCTAAGGTATATCAAACCCTAGACCTGTTGATGTGAGGAAACAAGAACCATGATTTTGCGAACGCCACAAAGGTTGTCTAATCCTTTGATAAGTTCTAAAGGTTGAACGCCACAAATATAAAAATAAATTTGATAAGTTCGATAGTTCATTCAAGAACCAAGGGAGAGAAAAATCTCGTTAATTCATTATCAAAAGTCTTAATCTTACAATGAAATAAAGATCCTATTTATATGAAACCTTAAAAAAAAACCTTAATTGCACGAAAATATAATTCTAATATTAGAGAAGATGCTAAAAATATGGAATTCTAATTAAACTAGGAAAATGCCAAAAATTTCCAAATTTGCGTCAAAATTTATGCCATGTTTCTGTACGACTGAAAACCCAGAAGTACCATGTGCCCATGTAAACTTGTGTAGAATTTCGTGATGATTCCGGAATGTATTCATAGGCGAAAATTCGACACGCGATCTGAAAGTTATGCCCATTTTAATCAACGTCACTCGTTTTCTTTTCAAATATCTTTCAAACCTTGAATCCAACTCATTTTGGCTCCTGAACCTTTCACGAAACTTGAATCTTAGCTTGTCAACTTCTTCAATTTAGACTCCAAAACTCGACTAAGTGATTGCCTATCCTGGATCATATCATCCCCTCTCTCTTCGAAAAGATTCATCCTCGAATTATTGCCTTGTATTGCACCACCTG